CACTTTGTAGTGAGAAGAAGCAGAGCATGCAGAAGGGTACACAGATGTGTCAGCTGCTGTTTTGCTGTGATACAGCACCAGGAACAGGCAGCTTACACAAGGACAGGTTTGTTTGGGCCCGTGGTTCCAGAGGTTCCGTCATAGTGGAGAAGCATGGTCGCAGGCAGGCATGGCCGCAGGAACACCTGAGAGCTCACATTGTCAACTGCAGGCAGGAAGCAGAGAGAGAGAACTAGGAATGCCTGGCTTTGAAACCTCAAAGCCCACCTCCAGAGACACACTCCCTCCAACAAGGCCACATCCCCTAAACCTACCCAAATATGCCACCATCTGGGAACCAAGTGTTCAGACACCTGAACCTATGGGTGACATTTCATTCAAGCCACCACAACAAAGAATAGTGTTCAGATCTCAAGTCACTATCTTTTGTTTGTTTTGTTTTGTTTTGTTTTGTAGACAGGGTTTCTCTGTGTGGTCCTGGCTATCCTAGAACTCACTCTGTAGACCATGCTAACCTCGAACCCCCAGATAACTTCCTGCCTTTGCCTCCTAAGTGCTAGGATCAAAGGCATGCACCACCCAAAAAGCTTTATTGGCAACACTTTGCATATTAGATGTTAGAGTCCTGGAGAAGTCCCACAAAAGACCACAATCCACATATACAATCAGCAAGAGCATTTAGTATTCTGGCATGCTGGGTCTGACCATCCTACACAAAGGCAAAATGGCAACGACTCCAGGAGAAGCTCACAAGCTCCTTTTAAGAAGAGCTACGGAGACTTTGTAGGGCAGTTAGGCCATCTTGGATATGATTGGCTTAAGCAAGTAGCAATCATATTAGTACATTCTAATTGGCTAGGGCTAATTGGGCTGATTAAGGCTATAGCTTTTCCATTTTTGGTCAGGCTTGGACAAGTCCCAGACTTTGTCCTTATTTGGTTATTACCTTGAGCTGCTGACTCGGGCTGACTCAGTGGTCCAGGCTTGGTATGTGCTATCTCCCTTGTCTCTGCTGTCAAGGTCGTTGAAGATTGATTGTCTTTTGTTCATGGCTTCCTCAGAAACTGCTTCAAGAGGCAGGAACTAAGGCTTAGTTCTTAATTGAGTTATTAGGACAGGCTGTCATGATATTTTCCGGGCCCTCTCACTATATAATTGATCCATTAAACATACAATTTAATGTTTTTTAGTATAATTACAGACATGTGCAACTCCACACAATCATTTCTGTTACTTCCAAATATAAGACCCATGTCCTTCAGTCATCACAACCCTGATTCTTTTGCCTTCTTCTGCTCCCTGGAACTATCTGATCTATATTGTTGTCTTCATAACCTTGGCGATTAATTTGATGCTGCTAACAATGCTCAGTTGTGGGCTTGATCCCCCAACAGCCATTCAGATAATGCTAAATGTCAAGCTTCAGGTGGCCTTTAAACTTAGAGAAAAACCAAAGTGCGTTCATTTTCATTTTCAGTGATTATTATTTTCCAGGTATTTCAGTTGACACACTGTTTAATGTGGTTCTGCTTAAACATTTCAAAATAGTTTTGTTAACATAAGTTCCAAATATTTAAAGTGTATAATTTGATGAGTTTTATTTTAACATTGACACATGCAGAGTAGATCACTACTATAAAGATAACAAACATACCTACCATCCCCAGTGTTTTTGTATTTTTGTGACATGTCTTCCCTTATTCTCCATACTTGTTCCCCAAGCTCTTACTTTACAAAGGTATGTATGGACTGGGGCGGGTAGCTTTAGTAGTTGGCCACATGCTTGACATGCATGAGGCCCTGAATTTAATCTTCAGCACCACACACACTGAGTTAATTGAGAGTACATATGTTGGTTGGAGAAGGCAAGCATGTAAGAATAGAGACTGTAGCTGGAGTTTTCTCCAGTCCTGCCTGGCCCGCAGTCAGGACAAATCTCTGTCACCCATCAGCCCCACAGCCTCTCAGACCCAACCGAGTAAATACACAGAGACTTATATTGCTTACAAACTGTATGGCCGTGGCAGGCTTTTTGTTATCTAATTCTTTTATCTTAAATTAACCCATGTCTATTGGTCTATAAGTTGCCACATGGCTCATTGCCTTTTGGTACCTTACATCTTACTTGTCATAGCAGCGGCTGGCAGCGTCTCTCTGACTCAGCCTTTTACCTTAGACTCACAAATATAAGATAGATAGGATATCTTCTTTAATTTTGCCAAATACAAATGGACTAGTTATTATAAATAGACTAGATAGTGTAACTATAATTCTTACTTGATAATTGTTTTGTTATCTGTAATTTTACTATGTGAAAGTTAAAACCTTCCTTTTTGAAAAAAGAAAAGGGGGAAGTGCTGTGGATGATTGATTGATAAATAAAACACTGATTGGCCAGTAGCCAGGCAGGAAGTATAGGCGAGACTAGCAGAGTGGAGAATTCTGGGAACAGGAAGGCGGAGAGGAGGAGACGCTGCCAGCCACCACCATGAGTACCAACCTGTAAGATACTGGTAAGCCACAAGCCATGTGGCAACTTATAGATGAATAGAAATGGGTTAATTTAAGATATAAGAACAGTTAGCAAGAAGCCTGCCACGGCCATACAGTTTGTAAGCAATATAAGTCTCTGTGTGTTTACTTGGTTGGGTCTGAGCGGCTGTGGAACTGGCGGGTAAGAGAGATTTGTCCTGATTGTGGGCCAGGCAGGAAAACTCTAGCTACAAGAGACCAGCTGGCTGACTTGTGTAAGGGTAACTCTGTATAACTCTTTGCTTTTTCATCTGTAAGATGGAAGGAGTTTTTACCTTTGGTGTTTTGATCTGTGTTAAATCTAAAATTTTTTTGTGAATTAGTACAAATGTCCAAATGGTAAAATCTATATAAATGGTAGCTATTGCTAGTGCTATTTTATGCTATATTTTAGTAAAGTACTTGATGTATGATATTTTGTCATCATTATTGTTGTATGACTAGTATTATGCCTAACACATAATTACATTATGTTAAATTTACATTCATTTCTTTCCTTTCTTAAAAACTTTATTTTATGTGAATGTTTGTGCCTGAGTATGTGGACCACATGCTTGTAAGTGCCTGAAGAAGCTAGAAGAGGGTATTGGATCTCCTGGAGTTGCGGGTGGTTGTGAGCAGCCTAATGTGGGCACTGGGAATAGAACCCAGGTCCTCTGAAAGACCAGCAAGTGCCCTTAACTGCTGAGCCATCTCTCAAGCACCCTACTTCTCTTCTTCTTTTGTCTCCACTTTATCTTTTTAATTTTCTTCCTTCTTAATTCTTGGTAAATTTACAATGTGACTTTTTTTCTAACCCTAATTGTAAAATTTGAGAATTGATTTAAAAAAAACCTAACATCATTTGTTTATTAATTTATCCAAATTTTTTTATTGATCATGTCCTCAGTTGCAATCACTGAGCAAGGCACTTAGAATGATTCCAGACTGCATAAGACAAGAGATATTGTCTACATTTAGACAAGAATACCTATGGGAGCCTTGTGTTCATAGAAGCATACATGTCCAGGGGTTGTAGGGAGGGATTCCATCTGCAGAGACTTAGGGGTGGCCCCCTGGAGGATGCACAATTTAATTATAGTCTCCAAGGTCTGAGAGGGTGAAGGCAATCTGAAAATTGGGTCAGAATCATGCAGAGTTCTGAAACTTGGTCCAGGAATGGGAAGTATTTTCCTGAGTATGGGATAGAGAGTGTGTGTATGGGAGTCAATAGCATGAAGCACAGCTGGAGAGGACTGGGCATCCAATGGGCAGCTTACTGTTGGACAAGGGGATGAGATGGGGTTTGTCAGGGAGTAGAGAGCAGTGAACACTTTACAGCAGGGAATGAGTTATATCTTAACCATAGGCACACTGTTTTTGTTGGATTATTTATTTATAGATAGATCTTACTATATAAACCCAGGCTAGCCTTGAACTCTTGGTCTTTCTTCCTCAACTTCCCAAGTGCTGGGATTATAAATGCCATCTACCATGTCTGTCTTGGTATACTGTTGAGGACTGTTATGACTCTTGTGTATGGTTGGAGCGGGCATGGAGACAGCTGAACAGTCATGAGTACTTTGATGTGTCTAGCTGCTGCTTAGGATTTTAAGTGTAGGTTACTGGCTGTGCAGAAATACAAGAAATTGACAAGCCTGGTGCATGCTTGGTCATCAGGGTTGGGACATGCTGTCTTCATTGGAATACTTATAGAGCATGTATTGTGAGCTAGCCAATTCTAGCTCAGTTCTCATGGCAATGCAGATTGTTATACCCATCTTCCAGGTGGGAACTTGAGCTTGGAGGGCTTAAGAGCCATCACTGCGATCCTCTGCCTTTCCTTTCTTGGCCAGGCCTTCTCATTCAGACTCTCAGTGGCTTCTTAGCTTTCCTACACCGTTGTCTCCTGCCTTTGCCCTCTTGTGTCAGCCTGCCTTGTAAAGGAAGGAATGAGGAGAACCATTTATGAATGTGATCCGCCCCCAGGAATCATCACAGTGTTGTGCTTTGAATTTTATGTGCTCAGAAAGGAAGGTATATAAGATCCAAGGGTTAAATGTCAGTTGCTGTCCGCTTACCTTGTGAGTTCCAAGGACTGGCCTGCTTCTGAGGCTGTCTTTAGGCAGCAAATACACCATCAGCTCAGTGAGGTGACAGCAGCAGAGTGACTGTGTCTAGGACAGTCTGCTGCTAGCATTTCTGAAGACAGCCTTCAACATACAGAGTGGGATCGAGGGTTTTACACTGGGTTTTCCTTTTCCCTCTTGCATTCAGGACTAAGCAGATTACTAACCTGTGGTGATTAAGTCCCATCCAGAAGGAAGCGAGTGCACCTGTCTCAGGGAAGCGCAGCAGTGGCAGGTGTACTGGATGACTTCAGTTATCCCCAGATAGCTCCTCACTGAAATGTAGGTCACAGTGTTTTCTGTGATGATGTAATGTCTTTCCACCCCTAAATACTGCTTTTTCCCTCTTTGTATATACAGGAACTTGACAAAGAACTCCCAGTGCTTAAGCCATATTTTGTCAGTGACCCTGAAGAAGCTGGAGTGAGAGAGGCTGGCTTAAGAGTCACATGGCTGGGACACGCAACGCTGATGGTGGAAATGGACGAGCTCATACTCCTTACAGACCCCATGTTCAGCTCCCGCGCTTCTCCCTCACAGTACATGGGTCCAAAGCGATTTCGCCGTCCCCCGTGTACAATAAGTGAACTTCCCCGAATTGACGCTGTCCTTATTAGTCACAACCACTATGACCACCTGGACTATGGCTCTGTCCTCGCTTTGAATGAGCGATTTGGCAGTGAGTTGAGATGGTTTGTGCCTTTGGGTCTTCTCGACTGGATGCAGAAATGCGGCTGTGAGAACGTGATTGAGCTGGACTGGTGGGAGGAGAATTGCGTCCCTGGCCATGATAAGGTCACCTTTGTCTTCACGCCTTCCCAACACTGGTGTAAAAGGACCCTCATGGATGACAACAAGGTTCTGTGGGGCAGCTGGTCTGTGTTGGGGCCTTGGAATCGATTCTTCTTCACTGGGGATACTGGTTACTGCCCTGCTTTTGAGGAGATAGGAAAGAGGTTTGGTCCCTTTGACCTTGCAGCTATTCCCATTGGAGCTTATGAACCAAGGTTTGTAAATGTGAACTTCACACGTTAGGATTCTTGATGCTATTTAATTTGTGATTTTAGTGGTGGGCTTGATATACACTGATGGAGGTTGAAGTTAGATTCAAATTCAATTTTATATTAAGGTGTCACACTTCTAATCTCTGTGAGTTTGAAACTAACCCGGAAAAAAAAAAGAATCTCTAGACTCTTGCCAGAGCCCACATACCTCCCTGCTTACTAGCCAGTACCTAGAACCAACCTTTAGTCCTCCTCTTCACATGGATGATTCTTCTGCAGACGACTGGCTTTGACTCTGTGATTGGGAAGTTCCAGTCCCTGTCCTGCAAATCTTCTGTGTTTAGCAGATCGAGAAAGCAAGGGGTTGGCCTGTAGTCTGTGTGATGTGCTTACTTTCAGTCAGCACAAAGAATCTGGTCCTGACATGCCATTCCTCATGGCTCTCCCTCCCACCACCGTGTGCTCTCAGTTATTTTGAGAGCAGTTAAGGGCCACACTGTCACTGAAGACCCAGAAGATACAACTACTGTCTGTTTTACTTAATACTGTCTTTTTTAAGGAGAAGAGAGATGATTTCAGTGAACTCAGTCCAACAGATGTACTGTTTGCTTCACAAAACGGATTGTAACAAAGTGGTCTAGGAAGTTGGCTTACTGGTAATAAAATGAGTGCTTATGCAAGCATGGAGATGCAGGTTTGGTTCCTCAGAACCACAGTAAAAAGCCCTGCTTGACAGCACATTCCTGTAATTCCAGAGCTGGGGAGGCAGATGGGAGGATCCTGGATGTTCACTGGTCAGACAGTGTAACCAATCAATGAGGTCCAGGTTCAGTGAGAGAAGCTGTCTTTAAAACAATGTGGAGGGCTGGTGAAATGGAGTAGCGGGGCACCTGCTACTCAGGGTAAGCAGACCCAAGTTAGAGCCCTAGGACCTGCAGGTTTGAAGGAGACAATCCACCTACACTCAAGTTCTCTTCACCCACTGGTGTGTGTCACAGGCAAAGAATGAATGTGATCATTTTTGTTTCTTAAAAAGGTGGAGAGTGATAGAGAGAAACACCTGATGTTGACCTCTGGGCTGCACATGCCCTCATACACATGTGCACATAAATGAACACACCACACATACCAGGTTTTGCTTTACTTTTCACAGCATGCATATACATGTGTGTTATTAGGCAACCCTACAAGCATTGTATCTCAAATACAAGCAGTATATATAATCTCAACAGAGCTTAGACTTACTTGCGTAGCTGTTTGTACACATGGTGACAGATTGGGTAAATCCAGTTTTTTGTTTTCACCCTGTACCCATTCATTCATCAGTTTTCCTTCTTTTTTGTAACTGGGGATTGAATCCAGGGCCTGAGGCATCACGGAGCTATATCCCCATCCTTGTCAAATTCATTTGTTAACCTTTCAGTTCACCAAACCATTTTTTTTATCTTTATTCTTTTATTTATTTATTTAGCTTTACTTATTTCCTTATTGTGGGTGGGTTTAGATACTTTTACCTGTTTTGGGTTCTTAGTAATTATTGAAACTATCATAACTTGCCAGATGAGGCAGCACATGCCTCTAACCCCAAAACTGAGAAGTTGAGGCCGGAGAATCTGTTCCAAAAAGCCACCACCATTATAGACCACAACAGAAATTATTGTAAGTCAGTATTAGTGTTTAAATTTTACTTTTTCCATTCAAATTATTCTAGTTCTCATGAAACTCCTGTAAATATCAACTGACATGGCTGTAAAAAATGGTCACAAATCATTTTCAAATGGTGTTGACTTTTACTCACTACATAAAGAGTATCTCTTTACTGTTATACAAACAAGCCTTCATGGGTGGCACCCCGTGTTTAATGTCTGTGTCTGTGGTGACGGCACAAACTGCATGCCCACAGCCTTGCCCCTTCTCTACAGTGCCTCCGTCTTCTTTCTTGGCTGGGAGAGGCCGGGGGTGGGGCCATGGCTTGCTTTAAGAGCATTAAATGTGGTAGTTCACATGGACTGTAGAATCTGGTTTTGTCAATCCTAGCTGTTTTAGAAATAAAATAAACTTAGGAATCCTGTACACATGTAAGCTAATTGTAGTGAAAAATGGCTTTCAGTTGTGTGCTGGGAATATTTGATTCCTACTTCTGGGGTCTCTCAACCCCAGACGTTGTAGCTGGAGTTTAGCATTTACTTTTCCACTTTCAGTGCTGGGGATTGAGTCCGGAGCCCTGAACAAGCTGGGTCAAGTGGTCTGTCGGCCTTAGCACTGACATTTTCATTTTAATGGCTAGAGTAAAAAAAAAAAAAGTAAATTTATTTCAGGTAAACAGAAGTTAGAAAAGAAGTAGCATTTGCAAAAGGACTGTTTAATAGACGAGGGGACACACCAAGACTGTTTCCGTTCTGCCTTGGCTCCTGAGTGTCAGGACATAGGCAGAACACTGCTTCTGTAGTCTGTTCTGAGCACAGTGGGTTTGTTTTGGGGTTTCCAGAGGACCCAGTACGTGCTGACAGTCAAATCACCCCTTTGTTGTTGTAGATGGATGGACTCTGGGTGATGAGTTCTGGGAAGGGCAGAGCACCTGGGTACAGCCCATACCCCTTAGTCTTTCTAGCATTGCTGGGTAGTGGCAGACTAGGATGCAAAGAATATGAAGAAAATGTTTCTCCTCAGCTAAACCAGTGGCTTGGAAAGTAAAACATGTGCATCCTTTGCATAAAAAATAATTCATTTTTTCCTGAAGGTCATGTTTTGTTAATTATTTTTCTGGGAGGGGTCTATGAATAGGTGCTGCATTTAATGTTTTCACAAACTGCCTGGATCAACGATTATACTTCACAGACATGGAAATAGAAGCTCGGGGATTTGAGAGACCTTTCCAAAGGCTTTCCAACCCCTGCACGAGTTGGGACTTGGGCTCTCCTTCTGGAGCCTGGGGGGCTCCAAGGTGTTAGTCGGTCTTCCAGGACTTTGCTATCTATAGTCACTTGCTCAGTTTTATGGTGTTTTAAATAAAATACCTTGACTGGCAGTGGGACTTTTCCCCCTTATCTTTAAACTTTAAATACTTTACACTGTATACTATTTATTTTTGAGAAAAAGTCGTGATAATGTAGTCCAGCCTTGAGTTTAGGATCCTCATGTATGGAGGTAAGGGTTACAGATGTGTGTGCTGTAGCACCCGGCTTTACATAATAACTCTTGGCTTGCTTTCCATTTGGTCAGTTAGTGCCTGTGGGATATCCTAATGGTGTGTTCTATTGTGACTGGTTTGTTTTCTAATTCTTTTTTTTTAGCCCTGGCTGTCCTGGAACTCATTTGTAGACCATGCTGGTCTCGAACTCACAGCAGTCTGCCTGCCTCTGCCTGCTGAGTGCTGGGATTAAAGGCATGTACCACCACCACCCGACATGGTTTCCAATTCTTTACCCATTATTATATTTCTTTGATTCATCCCTAAAATTGCAGAGTAAAATAGTAAGTCATATATATTTTTTTTTTCGAGACAGGGTTTCTCTGTGTAGCTTTGCGCCATTTTCCTGGAACTCACTTGGTAGCCCAGGCTGGCCTTGAACTCACAGAGATCTGCCTAGCTCTGCCTCCCGAGGGCTGGGATTAAAGGCGTGCGCCACCACCACCCAGCATAAGTCATATTTTTAAAATACAGCATCAGTAAAAATCAAAATAAACATGAAATAAAGCTTGAAACTCACTTTTTTAGCAATTTATACACATGAGAGTTTTGCTTTTTTGCCCCCAGAGAAAAGTGGACGGAGGGGAAATGGTTTTATCAACTGTGGATGGGTTTTGCTTCTGTTTAGAATCTTATTTATTTGTTTACATATATATTTTGAGATTTTATTTACTATTTATTTGTTTACGATTTTTTTTTGAGGTAGCTTTGCTCTGGGTATCCCTGGGTATCCGGGAACTCTCTCTGTAGACCAGGCTGGCCTCCAACTCAGAGATCTGCCTGCCTCTCCCTCCTAAGTGCTGGGATTAAAGGCATGCGCTACCATGCCTGGCATAAGATTTCACTTTTAATATTATGGGTATTTGTGTGTCTGTGTGAGTGAATGCCATGTGTTTGGGTGCCCATAATAGAAGACTTAGTGCCTGGCTCATTCATCGCTGCTTGTGTCTCTTCCCTGTGATTCTCACTTCTGGCTGCACAAGTCTAATGCTGGTGTCCCAACATCATGGAGTAACTTTTTATTATAAATTTTCTGGATGAGTTCCGTGTGAATTTGATGGTTGAAAAGTGGTTGAAAACAACACTACTGCTTGTTGCTGCATCTACTGCTGATTTGGTGAAATTCCTAGGTATACTGACATAAAGTCAAATGAAGGTCTAGGGAGAGGCCATAAGAATAGCCATAGTGAGTTTTCAAACATTCATAGTCCTGTGAAGAATCCTTTTGTTTTAAATTTTATTTTTAACTCTGTGTGTGTGTGTGTGTGTGTGTGTGTGTGTGTGTGTGTGTGTGTGTGTGTGTGTTTGTGCGTGTGAGTGTAAATGCCCAAGCAGGCCAGACAAGGACATTGGATCTCCTGGAGCTGGGGTTATAGGCAATTGTGAATTGCCTGATGTGGGAACCGGGAACTGAACTCAGGTCTGCAAAGGTAATGCGTGCTTTTAACTGCATATCTGTCTCTCCAGATATGCAGACTATTAAATGTTGATTAGATAAAATAGTCATTTGAATTTAGGCTATTTGCAAAGATTGAATTAATCAATAGCTGTGTTTCATCAGGTGGTTTATGAAATACCAGCATGTTGACCCAGAAGATGCTGTAAGAATTCACATTGATGTTCAAACGAAGAGATCTGTGGCAATTCACTGGGGAACTTTTGCCTTAACTAATGAGGTAAGTTTGATTTAAACAAACAAATATAAACCTCAGCTTTGATTGTGTGTTTGTTGGTGGGATTTAGTATCTCTGTGACCTGGCTTTCAGAGACCACACTGTGGAATCAAACTCTGTACAGTTATCACAACCACCACATAAATTGGAGGGGCAAAGCATACTTTCTAGTAAAATACTTGAAAACAGTAGGAATAAAACCCCCATGGTGTGCTGTTTTTTTAGGCTGATTTCATAGTTAATGAAGCATCTGCTTATCCAAAATCTATGTGTGGTGTAGAAAATGAACCATCATGCCTCCACACTCCAGATGGCTTATGTTCTAGTAGAAGCTAGAACGTACATTGTGTACTGGAAGGTGGAAGTGCTATAATGTGGGACAGATAAATTGGTCTCAAAGACAGGGAGGGATCAGGAATCACTTCATGGAAGAAGGAGATTTTAACTTGGCCACAGGTGTGAAGGATGGTACTTATTTCCAGAGGAGGAAAGGGTAGAGCATAGTCTGGGGGCAGCAGACATGGGGGAAGGGAGGAGTCTGTTCAGCAGGAGAGTGGGTGGTGTGGAAGGTAGTGGGAGAAGAGAGCTATAATGTGGGGCTTTCTAGAAATATCTTACCCATTTAGGTCACTTCCATTCAGTGATTGTTATCTCCAGACACTGGCATAAATATGGTATATTTAGACTATATCAGAAGAGCTGATTCTTCCTCGGAAACTGATGCCCAAGCTTTGCTGGCATGGGTTCTGGAATCAGGAAGTCTAATGAAGTCATCTCTTCATTCCTGGATCTAAGTCCAAGCAACGTTGAGAAGGGTTAGACATTAACTTCCCCTGCTGGGCTCTGATTGACCCTTTCGTCTCCCGGGCCCTCTTACTCTGCTTTGTTTCTGGTGTGACCTCTTCCTAAGATAGAGTTTGTTCCACAGTTACCTAATACATGCAGTGCTCATTTCCCTATCTCCTAATTAAAATGTCTGTCTTATTATGAAATAACCATGAATAATGCAGCAGATCTGTAGCCATGCTGCTGGAAGTGGGATGGAGTAATAAATGAAAATCTACAGAGCTGGGAGGAAGGCGTGCTCATCTGAAGTACATGTGTGGACTTGGGAAAGGGCAAACTGTCAAATTTGCATATGCTGTTTGATGGCTGGTTTTTTTTTTTTTTTTTTTTTTTTTTTTGGTTTTTCGAGACAGGGTTTCTCTGTGTAGCTTTGCGCCTTTCCCGGAACTCACTTGGTAGCCCAGGCTGGCCTCGAACTCACAGAGATCCGCCTGGCTCTGCCTCCCGAGGGCTGGGATTAAAGGCGCGCGCCACCACCGCCCGGCTGATGGCTGTTTCTTATGATGTCTCTACCTGTTTGTATGTGTGAATGTTCCATATGTATTTTCTTTAGTGCCATAGATGGAATAGTAGTATGTTATTAAACCTTTGTAAAGGAAGGCATGAAGCCTCAGCTTGAGTGAGTGGGCAGACAGTAGTGTGCTGTGGGATGTTCTATATGTCAAATGTGTTGCTCTGATTGGTTGATGAATGGAACACTGATTGGCCAGTAGCCAGGCAGGAGGAAGTATAGGCGGGACAGAGAGGAAAGGAATTCTGGGAAGTGGAAGGCTGAGTGAGAGAGAAACGCAGTCAGCCGCTGCCATGAAAAGATGTAAGGTACCGGTAAGCCACGAACCACGTGACAACTTATAGATTAATAAAAATGGGTTAATTTAAGATATAAAAACAGTTAACAAGAAGCCTGCCATGGCCATACAGTTTATAAACAATATAAGTCTCTGTGTCTTTACTTGGTTGGGTCTAAGTGACTACAGGACTGACAGGTAAGAGAGATTTGTCCTAACTTGGGCCAGACAAAAAAACTCTATCTACAGTAGTGCTCTTTCCTTAGATGGGGAGATTAGGAGAGGATCAAAACCTCAGACTTCAAGAATCATTTCACATCCAGGAAGTAGTGGCACGCACACACCTTTAATCCCAGCACTTGGAAAACAGAGGCAGGTGGATCTCTGTGAGTTCGAGGCCAGCTTGGTCTACAGAGTGATTTTCAGGACAGCCATGGCTGCATAGAGAAACCCTGTCTCAAAAAACAAACAAAAAGAATCATTTCACTTGTTTTAGTTAGGTTTTCTATTGCTGTGAAGTGATATCATGACCATGCAAGTGTTTGTGAAAGGAAGCATTAATTGGGGCTGGTTTACAGTTTTACAGGTTTAGTCCATTATTGTCGTGGTGGGAAACATGGTGTTGTACAGGCAGACATGGTGCTGGAGAAGGCTTAACTGAGAAGATCTGGAGGCAGCAGAAAGAGACTGTGTACCACACTGGGTGTTGCTTGAGCATATGAGACTTCAAAGCCCACCTCCATAGTGACATACCTACTCCAACAGGCCACACCTCCTAATGGGTCAAGCATTCAAACACATGAGTCTCTGGGCGCCAGTTCTATCCAGACCACTGCATCACTGTCTAGTCTTCAAGAATTATGCCCGATGGCTCTCAGGAGGTGGCAGCAGGAAGACTGCAAGTAGTGGCAAGCCATCCTGGGCTACTTGAATACGTCAGAGATGTCAGTGCCAAAAATCTCAAACAAAATAAAACAAAACATCAAAGGGAGGTTTGTTCTTGCTGTACCTCCATCTTTATTTCTTTCTGAGACCCTTAATAAAGACGCATCTTTCCTTTGACTGTTTTGTAGTTACCAGTTTACTCAACTAACACAAAAGTGTGAAAGTCTATGGGATTTTCAGACATGTTTAGCCTGTAGTTTCTAAATATTTGGTGCTTTGTATAAGCACTTGAAGTAGCTGCTCATTATGATATAAGCAGGATACAGGTGTCTATAACTCGACAGCACCCTACAGTTCTGTATGTGCATGGTATGTGTCTATTAATAGCTAATTTTCTAAAATAAACCCCTATTTTTGATGTAGCATTCTGTAATTACATAAGCTAGAAGTTAGCTGACCGGGTTGTATCCTTACTGGATTCTGTTGAAAGCGGACTGTTAGTCAGTTGACCCTTTAGGAACGCAGTTGTCCAGGGCTGGCTGCCTGGCATTTGATGGGCCTCGAATTCAGGGTCTTCTCCCGTTCCTTACTTGTATTCTCTGACTTACTGACTTGCTTTCCCGTAGGTGCTTGCTTCCATGACTGTGGAGCATTTTTTTTTCTCCTTTGTGCTTGGATTCTGAGATACTAAATCTAAGTCACCCAGAAGCTTTTCTTACATAATTCGAAGGCTAGATGGTTAGAATAGCCAAGAATTAGCCTATGGAAAAACTCAGATATTGTAAAATGTAGATAGATTAAAGACAGAAGGTCTCCTACCACCTACAACATTATAAAAACTATACTAAGTCCTTAATGGCATCATGCCTGACACTATAAAGTTAGAGCTAGCAAAGAAGTTATCAGTGTAGATTGATTGTGTATCTACTTTGTTGACCAAAACCTTGGAAAACAGGGGTGATAAGAACTTAGAAAAAGGAGCTATTTTTCAATGGGGAAGAATTTCATTATTTTGAATTTTTTTTTATTTTTTGAGACAGGGTTTCTCTGTGTAGCTTTGCACCTGTCCTGGAACTCACTCTGTAGCCCAGGCTGGCCTCGAACTCACAGAGATCCACCTGCCTCTGCCTCCTGAGTGCTGGGATTAAAGGCGTGTGCCACCACCGCCTGGCTTGAAATATTTTAAAAATAAATACATTTATTTTTGTGCTATATGTGTTATATGGTATATAACATAATATATATGTATAATATATATTAGACAAGCAGTAGATTCTGGCTATCTGCCATCCATTAATAAATGGCTATCTCTAAGAATACAGCATAAATAAGGCTTAGTTAAAACCTAAGTTATTTAGCAGTTAGTTGAATGTTGTTAGTGATCCTTTAAATGTAACCAAAATTGTGGAAATAAGCCAGGAGGACAAAACCCACATGTACATTTCAACCCTAGGAAGTGTGTCCTGGCTTTTATAGCTCATTGGTTATCTCTTCTCACTATTGCTCACTCTTTGTCCCTCCTTGTAAGCATTGAGTGCTGCAGGCAGCAGTCCTGCCTGCTTCACAGTCCTGCAATAAGGAGATGCAGCTGAGCACTCTGACCAGGCAATCTGAGTTTCTCCTAGAGACCTCCACTTATGTGTAAGTGGGATCTTAAGCCACTGAAAAGAATTTCAGGTTAAGTGAGAATTTTAGACAACTCAGTATTAAGAAGCAAACAGTAAACACCAAGGGCAGATTTTAAGGGCAGTTAAGAAAGAAATGTGCCTGGGGCTGTACAGATGGCTCAGCGGTATTAAAACATGCTTTTGGCTTTAACCTTGGTTCATTAGCTGTTTTACTCAGTCTGGTATGTTGCTGAGGAAGGAGGGTGTCATTGCTGTGCAGGCAGCCTTTACTGTGGATTTATTAGTTGTGTCTAGAGTTTTAACTCAGTCAGTGGGACAATAAAATGGGTATTAGTGAAAGAACTCTTTCCCTTTCTCACGTCCCCTTAGCATTCCTACTTCGTGTTCTCCCTCCACCTTTCCAGCCCAGGTCCTCTTCTCCAGTCACATTTCCATGTGAGCTGTCTCCCCCTCCCTCCCGCCTTCCCAGACAGCTCAGCCTTCACTGCCACACACTGTCCCCTACAGTCCTCAGCACTATAGAAGACCTTCATGGTTGGAATCAAATCGCCACATCTTCAAAGTAGCCTGGGAGCATCATGTCTGGGGGTGAAAACCTCAGCTCTGATGAGCACCTATATCCCTTGAGTAACCCAGCCCCTCGAGGGTTGTGTTTAGAGGGTATTTTCGTGGAAGGGCCTCTGAGATGACTGTACTTAGAATAACCTTATTCCCAGCACTTTCTTCTTCCCAGAACATATTGACTCCTCAGATATCTTATTTCTTTTTCTGTCTATCTCTGCATTACAAGGATAAAGACTTTTGTTTGTTCACTAGCCTGACATACTCTGTAGATGCATAGGAGATGGGTCTCGATTAGTTCAGAATTTACTTTTTTTTTTTAATTTCCAAATGTTACAGCCTTTCTAATTAGGTAACAACAACAAAAAACAAAAACAAAACAAAAACCTTTGAATGAATTTTTAAAAAAAGCTATTATACAGCATAGAGATTTAGGTCAAAGGGAAATAAGAAAAAAAAAAAAAAGATGAAGTTGGAATGGGGCCTGGAGAGGGGATGTGCCTGGGAGGAGTTGGGGGAGGGAATAGGAAGTGAGTATGATTAAATAGATTGTATGAAATTCTCCAATAAATAACACAAATAGTATTTAATTATTAAAATTATTATTCAAATAATATTAATTTAATTAAATATTAATTAGTACCTCTGGAGCTGTACCTATACATTTATTAATTTGTTCTTTTTACCACATCACAATGACTCATTTTCTGTTTGTTTTTTTTTAAATTTGTTTATTTATGTGCTTGAGTGTTTTTCCGGCATGTATGTCTGTGTACTACCACATGTGTGCTTGGTGCCCAAGGAATCCAGAAGAGGGCATCTGATTCACTGGGATTGGAGTTACAAACAGTTGTGAACTACCATGGGGTGCTAGGAATTGAACTGGGTCCTCTAGAAGAGCAGCCATGCTCTTAACCTATGAGCTATTTCTCACAGCCCCTTTAAATATTTAAAAAGGTAAATAACTAATGAAATTGTTTACCTTCATACTTTAAATTTCTTTTTAAATAATTTTATTCTACATTCAAGTGATCTGCACTTTTATAATTTACATTGTGTATGTGTACGGAGCATGTGCACCATAGCAGGAATGTAGAAGTCAGTTTTATCCTTTTTTTGTTTTGTTTTTTCGAGATAGGGTTTCTCTGTGTTGCCCTGGCTATCCAGGAACTCACTCTGTAGACCAGGCTGTACTCAAACTTCCCAGATCTGCCTGCCTCTGTCTCCTCAGTGCTGGGATTAAAGGCATGTGCCAGCACCACCACCAGTTTTATACCAGTGGGTCTAGGGATCTAACTCAGGGCCTCAGGTTTAGCATCAAGTATCTTCATCCACTAAGCCATCTTGCTAATCCAGTTACAACTTTTTAAGAAAATATTCAAGTGTGCAGAAACATTCTGGAGCTGTGTTGTTTTATTACAGAGCACTAAGGCAATAAAGGGAGTTGGGATTGCACTGCATTGTCTGTTCTTGCCCCCACCCTTCATCCTCTGACATGGTTTGTTCATGGGGGGCTTTGTGGGTAACAGCCTTCTTCAGCCAAAAACATTTGCTTGTCCACACAAACACAGATGCACAGAGTCCCACATGCTTAAATGTGTTACCATCCAATCTTCTATTATCATTTCTTAGTATTGATTCCAGCTACACTGAAATTGTATTGTGTGAGATCAGGATCCAGTTTTGTGTGATGTAAGGAGGCACCACAGTGTACATACAGGCATTTGGATGGACTTTTATCTTTCTTGTAGTAGACAGTTTTAATGACTTTGTAATTAGTGACTTAAATTGTGTAAGAAGATGAACTTGATAATGGTTCATTTAAAGGAATGTATGTAGGCAACTTTTGGTGTTTTAAATTATTTTTAGTTTGAGTGCTTATTTGAAATAGCCCTCAAGTATTTGTACTGTAAGTTTTCATTTTTCTTCCTGTTACTTGCCAGCATTACTTAGAGCCTCCAGTGAAACTGAATGAAGCTCTAGAGAGATACGGACTTAAAAGCGAAGATTTCTTTGTCCTAAAGCATGGAGAATCAAGATACTTGAATACTGATGATAAAGCTTTTGAAGAAAGATGAAAATGGAAATTTTCAGTGAAAACAAAAGATTAAGAAATTCACAAATATTATGACATTTTTCACGTGGAAACAACTTCTGCAAGTGTGGGTTTTGTTTTGCATTGTAACTTGCCAATCAATAAGACTCATTTACATAAACTGAGAGTCCAGGGAGGGTTATTTAAGGAACTGTCCAATGTAGACTTAAAAAAAATACCAATGACACAAACATTATATATATATGTCATATATATAATCAAAACACTACATTTTAGTGGTGGTAGAATTTCTGAGGTTGTAAAAAGCTGACATTAAAGTTTCATTTCTTTTTCTGTTATTCAGGGCTTTCTACAAAGCCCTACTTAGAGTTTTCAGACACACACACCTTTCTTATATTATAATGATGAACGTGACTTCCACATGCTGAGTAAATGCTTCAGGTTTTACTGTCAGGATGAACTGCCGGTCATGGTGATGCATATCTACAATCCCAGCACTCCACAGGATGAGGCAGATAGATGACAAGTTCATGGTCAACCAGAGCTACAACTAAGACCCTGTCTCAGGAGGAAACATTAGCTTACATGCCAAATGTTAAGTGATTTATTTTGTTAAGCATAAGAACGTAGGTGTTTGGGCTAAATTATCATTTAAAATTTTTTTATTGTGGCCAAATATACATTGCATAAAATTATAATTTTAACTATAGTGAAAAGAAGCTCCTTGGCATTAACAATTCACATTCTTCTGCATCCATGCACATCTTAAGTTTCTAAGAGGGCAATATCTACACAGCTGCACCCCAAGTTAAAAGCTGACGGTCAGAGAAGAGAACAGTGTGGGGTTGAGACGTAGGGGAAGTTTAAATTCCAAAGTCAGACATTCTGCTAAGCACAACTGTAATTACAGTGAAGTATTTCACACACCAAAATGTGAATACATCATGCACTTGGAATTGTTTTATTTTTTTCATTCTCCATTTTCTGTATATATACATATACATGTATATGTGTGTGTGTGTGTATATATAGATATACTTTTTCCTGTTCTCTAGGCTCTAACCCCAAATATAACAATGTTTTACATGACTTGGATGTGTTACATATTTTTATATTAAATGACCTATAAGCACAATTGTACTTTTTAGTAAGCCATTGTGAAATTACAGTTGTTTTTAAAGCTTCTGAGTGTCTGCTGACCAGAGTCTTTGGCCAGTATGCCTCTGCATCCGCAGGTTTGTTGTGAACCTTCAGGAAGTGAGCTGCCCAGGTGTTAGTGAGGGTGCTTCTGACTCTGACCAATGAAATCCACTTCCTTGGCACAAAACACAGTAGGCTTTCTCTAGATATCAAGTATGTAGGGAGTACTCAATACTCTGATGTATTTGCATGGGCGTACGCATGCCACACCTTGGTCTCTCATCGGAATTTCACCCTTCTGTCACTGATTTGATTACCCCAAAACAAATGGCTTGTGTTCAGCCCCGATCTCATTATGTACGACAAGAGGACAATGTCAACCTACCTCGAGGGGAAAGTAATATTTTTTTTTAAAACAGCACTTTAGAAATCTAAGGGAGAAAACATTTTAAGATATGACTGTCTGATACTGACAGGTACATGGAAAGCAAGCAATGCTTTTGATAATACATTTTTTTTGTTGCAAACACCAAACTGGACTTACCTTAGAGGGAAATAGCCAATATAAACGATCATCAGAATTTAATATTTTTATATAAAATATTCGTATCAGTCAAGGGGAAATGTGTATTGTAATATTGTGTGTATAGTGAAAGTGACTTGGAGTCCAAAGCCCAAGATACCATTAGACTCAGCTTCAGTAATCTCCGCTGCAAATGGCTGTGAATCCGGACAGTAGGCTGTGGATACAGCCTCGGGGGACAGTGCTCCACCGGGCACCCTTGCAGCCATCTTGTCATACTCAAAATTCTCTCCAGCCGTTGATAAACTTGCTCAAGTATTTCTCCATGAATGGCCTTAACATTGCTTTTGTCTCCACAGGCACTGTTTGAGGCTCTCCAGGTGCTTTGCTTTCTAGTCCCCTGAACTGGGCCCACCTCCTTGTTCTATGCTTCCTCATGATTTCTTTCTCTGTATAAGGCCCATTCATTATGAAGTACATCACATCTCTTTAACACAACCACCCTATTTTCACTTTATTTTTCTAATCTACATTTCAAAGGATGTATGTGTAAAGTGAAAATAAATTTTGAAAAATCTATTCTCTTTTGTCAGTCTAATATACATTGTAAATACTATCTATCTTCTAGGTCAATTTCATGTTCCTTTTTGATGAGTATCATCCCTGAGAAATCCTTTGATATGACTAACTGCCTTTGAGGGTGGTTCCTTGTTTGGTATGCTATGATCTGCATTAAGAGAAGCCTATTTGTATGTTTCACTATTCCTTGGTAGCTGTGTGACAACCCACTCAGCCCCCTGACACATTAGAATCAGCTAGCTGCTGGCAAGTATGGTTCTTCAGACTGACGGAGGAGATAAGAGGGGCAAGGAGCTTCTAGACCCAGAACTGTGAAAGCACACTGCAAACACCCTGGCTCCTATACAACCTTTTCAACACCCACTTTTATTAAAAAGGCAGCTTTAAAAAATTGTTATGAAGAAATGTGCCTTTTGGAGAATACCTTGAATGCTGTGCCATCAGCAAGTTAAAGTATTGTTAACCATCATGGCTTAGTGCTCCTCCAGTACACCGCAGATTTCTAGTCTCACCTTAAAAGTTTTCCCTGTTCCAAAGAGATTCTTCCAACACATTTTTCAGGTTGAGGATTTGTGATTCATGCAAACACTCTACTACTCACATCTTTACAGTGTGTTCTGAAGTACTCCTAAAGTTTTGTCTCACACACAGTGACACTTCTGTTTGCACACACAATGCTAAGCACAAAGGCGGAATGGACTCATACAGTACAACCTGGCTGAATTCAAAGATATTGAACTCCAACCTCCTGGGAAAGAATCATTTGAAAAGATAACTGAAAAATGTTTATAGGGGCTTAGAGAGATGGCTCAGTGGCTAAAAGCACTTGTTGCTCTTGTAGAGGACTTGGGTTCAGTTTCCAGCACCTATTTGGTGACTTACAACCACACTACTCCAGTTCCAATGCCTTCTGACCTTGTGCCTGTACATACATGCAGGCAAAGCACTCATACAAATAAATTTGAAAAAAAATTTACATATTGTAAGTTTAGTCAAGTAAAATGTGGATGAAGATTAGTAAAATAATGTCAATGGGGGAAGAAATTTTGTACACCCTTGCATTTTTTGATTTTATTAAAAAATTATACATTTATGCTCAGTAAAAAATTCAAACAGTAGAAATGGGTACACACAGAAAATCCAATGTACTCACCTCCCAGTCCTATGCCCAGAAGTTTTATGTATCCTTCTAGAAAAGTTCTGTCCATGTATAAATGTATTTCTCGTTGTTAAAAAAAATACACAGAACCATAATACATTGCTTTACAACATGCTTTTAAAAACATCCATTTCATGGGTGTATTTCTACATGAGTACAGTCAGACTCACTCAGGTCCTTTTTTTTAAAGAGCAGCTACTTGGTTTAGCCAGCTGCCTGTGGGTGCAAACTTGGATTGCTCTCCAATATTTTACACATCCTTATACATGGGGGTGAGTACTGAGAAAACATTTTCCCTGTAAATGGAAATGGTTTCACTGATCAGAAGTGAGGGAAGATTCTGACGATGAACAAAGACCTGCAGGCAGTAGGTGGGGTTGGCAAGGGTGCTTGAGCTTGGGTATCGCTGAAGCACAGGGTCCTTGCTGTGGCAGTTCTAGTCTTCAACTCAGCACCTAAAGCCGTCTGATGAGCAACAGAGAACCACTTCCAGGAGTTAGGATTGTACAGAGAAAGGCCACTCATTCCATGTGAGGGAACTATTGAACATCTCCATAAATATCTCCAGCACAATCTCTCATATTCATTTGATGCCAGTAAGATCATTCAAAATAAACCTGACTAAATGTTTGTCCCAGAAATGAGTCACATCCTGAGTGTTTGACTGGAGTATTTGTCGACTTCACCTGCTGATCATACCTAATCCCCAAACCCAAATCTGTACTCCAAAATCCAAAATTTTGCCAGGTGGTAGTGGTACATGCCTTTAATCCCAGCACTCGGGAGGCAAAGGCTGGTAGATCTCTGTCAATTCGAGGCCAGCCTTGTCTAGAGCAGGTTCCAGGACAGTCAAGGGCTATACAGAGAAACCCTGTCTCAAAAGAAGGAAAAAAAAAAAAAACAAAAACCCAAATTTTGAAAATCATCTTGGAGTACAGCTGCTCACCCTGAACTGTGTTAAAAACAAAATACAACTTTTATTGTTTAACTCCATCAGCTGAAATGATCCTTTTAAAGGAAGGTAGAAAATAAGTTCCTGTGTGCTGACTTAAGATTGCATTACTCTTAGAACAAGTAGGAGCAACCCATCAGAATTTTGGCATTATTGCTAAAACCTTCTCTTTGACATCCACATCATGGTGATAAACTAGAGCTCTCATTTTCTGGGCACAGTCTTCTCCATACAACAGGGAGAACAATGAGCCCTTAGCGAAGGGAGGCTGACTAGCTAGGCAGCCTTCTACTCTGAGGCAATTGTTTATATTCTGAAACAGAGTAAGCGCCCGAAGAAGAATCTCATTTGCTATTTGGCCATCATAAAGGGAAAGAAATGAAGAATCCACCTGAAAGAGGAAATACTGAGTATCATTTTTGTATTTTAAAACAACATTGACTAGTTTACATTTAAAAGTCTGACCCCAGGCAAGCTAACCTAACTGCTAACTTACCTGTGCAATTTTTATCCCCATGTTTGTTACAAATGAAAATGAGGTTTTGTTTGTTAGCTAATAAGAAGGTTTTTTTGGAACCCCAGAGTGTAGACATTTGGAAAACCAACCATTTTAGTATCCATCCAGTTTTTGTAAGAACTCATCAATTCAACCAATATTACCGTCCACACACAGTACGGGGAACAGGGCTGAGTGGATGGTTCTATTTCTGCAGGCAGGGAATTCCAGTCCATCTCTGCGACACTCTGACTTGCTTCAGAACATGGGGACAGTTTTCAAGGATCTTGCTTATTTGTTACATGTTTGTGTCTCCTAAGTTCCATGAGAACAAACACTATGTACTTGCTGGTTCGGGCACTCTGCCCAGCATCAAGCACATACAGGCGACTCAACACTGCTGTTTCAGCAAAGGCTGAGTTCCACGTGCATAAAGCAAACCAAACTTAAAAATGCAATGACACTGTGCACTGCAAAAGGAGCAGAGATGGAAAGTTCACTTGATACAGAGAATTTTTAAAGAGGGTTTTAAAAAGTCCAATATGCTTGTTTCAGTAAACATAAATTCATATATACGAGGAATAACAAGTTAACACCTTAGTTCTGCTCTTCAGAGATAATCCCTGTCGATGTTTCTGGCAGACCTTCCTAGAACTATTTGTCAAAATCTATGTCTGTGTGCATTTACAAACCAGGGAGGTGATGGACTTACTTGGGCACTCAGTAGTCCTTCTGTCATGGCTGGATTCTCCGACAAATTCAAAAGCAGCTTCAAAACCTGAACCTGCCGGCGGAAGGCTAGGTTTACTGGATCAGCAAGCACGACCCTCTCCCTAGGATGCTGGCCTCTCCCTCCCCGCCACCTGTAAACTCCTGTTTGCACCTCCAGGCCTGGCTCCAGTTCTCTCTGTGAAGTCTCTGCTCAGCTCCTCTGACCCTCAGCACCACATTCAGAGCATGTGCTATGTGCTATGTGCTATGTGCTATGTATACCTCACTTCTCTGTCTCAACTGCTGGGGAGACAGAAAAAACTCAGCAAATGTCTTCCAATACTGTAAGTCTGCTATGTGTTAAATCACCTCTTTTTCTCCCATGTTTGTGCTTTTGTGTATACATGTTCACATGTATGTGCGTGAGGAGGCCAGAGGCTGAGGTCAGTGGTTAGACAGTGGTTGGACTTGAACCCAGAACTCACCTATTGGGCTAGTCTACCAGCATGGTCCAGGGGGTCCCATCTCATTCCCCTTGTGCTAGGATTACAGGCAGACCACCCGCCCAGCATTTACATGGGCACTGGGATCTGAACGCCTGATCTCATGCTCGCACAATGAACAATTTAACCATGGAACTGGTTATTTCCCCAGCTCTTAAGTCAATTTTATTGTGAGTCCTGGTAAGGATACTCTGATCTTTGAACAACAGAATGTCTCAAAGCTTAGTTTGTTTCTCAGGAAAGTTATCAAAGTTCTGTAGGTCTGGTCACCACGACCAGACACTAGAACCTTTCCTTCTACAAGGTGGTTATGAACCTTGGAGCTTATCTTTTAAAAATGTGAACAATGTTTAATGATCATTTAAATGGGAAGTGATATTAATGTGATTTAATAGCTAATTAAAATGCTAGCATTCCTATTACTTATTTCTGAAAAATCAGTAATTAAATAGAATGTCTTAAAAATGTTTAGACTTATGTGTTTATGTGTATAAACGTTTTTGCCTGTATGTATGTATATGTACTGTGTGTGTGGCGCCTGCAGAGGTCAGAAGCAGGCATCGGAGCCTCAGGAGCTGGAGTTACCAGTGGTTATGTGGGTGCTTGGAACCAAACCTGGGTCCTTTGCAAGAGCAACACATACTCTTAAGTACTGAGTCATCTTTCCAGCCCCAGAATCTCTCTTTGAAAAACACTAACCCACACTTTCCACAAGACAGTTGAAATTAAAATGAGAAGGAGGAGGGTACTAAAGCCAGGCCAAACAACAACAACAACAACAACAAACCCTCCACTTTTCACTAGATCCAGGGAGGAACCTGGATGTCCGTTTTTATAACTGATTAAACAGGCAACAGATCCTGACTTTAGAACTTGGAGGGGAGAGGGCGCTGGGGATCAAACCAGGGTCTCCTGGGCTGGGCAAGCACCACCCTACCACAGTCGACCTTAGCCCTAAACCATTTCCAAATACAGGACAACCAAGAAAAAGGAAGTTTCCACATCATATTACAATTCCTTTGGTCACATGTCAACCTTCTTATGAATTAAAGGTGATAAAACTTTGCTTAACCTCCTGTAGTTAGAAGGTTTTTCTGGTCCTGCCAGGCCCTGCAGTCCCATGGACTGCTTATAAAATAATCACTCAGAAGTTTATATTAATTAAACTGCTCAGCCATTAGCTCAGGCTTATGACTGACTAGCTCTTACACTTAAACTCAGCCCATTTCTGTTAATCTATATGTTGCCACATGTTCTGTGGCTTTACCTGTGTGCCATTACATGCTGCTCCCTGGACGGCAGGCTGGCGTCTCCTGACTCAGCCTTCCTCTACCCAGAATTCTCCTTCTCTGCTTCTCCCGCCTATACTTCCTACCTGGCTACTGGCCAATCAGCTTTTTAGTTATCAACCAATCAGAGCAACACATTCACAGCATACAGAACATCCCACAGCACCCTCCTTTTTATCATCTTTTAAATTTTTGCAAGGTGTGGAGGCACACACCTTTAGTCCCAGCACTCAGGAGGCAGAGGCGGGTGGATCTCTGTGAGATCCAGGATAGTCAGGGTTACACAGAGAAACCCTGTCTCTAAAAGCCAACTCCCCCACCCCCCAAAGTTAAAAATTTGGAAAGTAATACATGGTCATGATCAAATGTCAAACAATGCAGAAGAGAACAAGGTGAAGACAAAAGCATATGCTAGTGGCCTGTCCTGCCCCAAAGTGGGATCCATGCTTTTCACACAGGTGTTTCTAAGGAAAATGATGGACTGTTAAAGGTAAGAAAGCAAGAATGACTTCTGACTCTCTAGTGCACTCCAAGAGCTACTGTGAGATCTCAGCTGGCCTGATGCTGTCGGCAACACCAGTAACAGGTCTAAGGAATAAAGTGCCTGGCTGTAATGTAAATGAAGCTTGGAGCAGGGTAACAGGAATAAAAGCTGTGCAATAGATTGCCTTGACCTATGAGATGAACCTGGGTGAACTCTGTGAAGGTCCACTCATTGGCAACCAGAAATAGTAAGAAACAGCTACTAAGTATCTGAAATGTGACCTTGCTGTCCTCTATAGGTTAAACATAGTTTAAAGTTCTTTTTCCTTTCTTGTTACGTGCACCACCTTGTGGTGATCCAGGACACTTAAGTTGTTGGCTCTCTGTTGTCCGTGCAGATAACAAACACTTTGTAGTATTTGGATTTGCTGTGAATCAGTGGCAGCCACAGATCACAGGGTGCAGGGAGAGCACCACCACAGATCACAGGGTGCAGAGAGAGCACCACCACAGATCACAGGGTGCAGAGAGAGCACCACCACAGATCACAGCGTGCAGAGAGAGCACCACCACAGATCACAGGGTGCAGAGAGAGCACCACCACAGATCACAGCGTGCAGAGAGAGCACCACCACAGATCACAGCACTCAGGGAGCACCGCCACAGACTAAATACAATCTTTAATAGTCACTCTGTTGGACACTTCCTGAGGAAATACCTATCCATAAAAATGGATGACTATGCAACAATGCACTTTCGAGTTAGAACTTTACACTCAGCTTTTATGGAGAAACAATGCCATAATAATGGCCAGGTTACCATCAAAATTTTAATTTTCTATCCTAGAAAAATTGTAGGCAATGCAATGGAAAAATACGACAAAACAATGCGAGTCATCTCTTAAAAAGTTGTAAATTTTATCAACCAGAACTGAGACAGATATATACAGGTCCAGAGAGATTTGCTTGGCTCTGAACTAAGAGTTCCTTCTGGATTCTGGGTAAGGCAGCTGCAGAGACAGTCAAGGGCAAGGTTTTTTCCTATAGTAGTCACATTCAACACAGAGGGAGGCATTCTCCTGGGCCCCAGACGGCTGGAAGTCATCTTCCACTGGGCTGGAAATAACCAGCAGCTTAGCAGTACTGCAAAAAGGACGGCTTACACTTGTGTTTACTTCTGAATGTCTGGGTAAGTCCTGGACCAGACCCAGACAAGCTGGGCTACAGGAAATGTGGAAAACCCATATAAATACCTCAGAAGCACTGGACTACAGTGAGGTACTTCAGTGATTATACCCCGAGAACTCCAGAAGCACTGAAATAACATCAGATACTTGGGGTACATCTTCACATTGATCCTTCCTAAACACTAACGCAACCAAGTATAGTGGCACTAACCTATCAATCTGAGCACTTGGGAGGCTGAAACAGGAGAGTCAAGAGTTCAAAACTAGCCAAGGACACATAGTGAAACTGTCTCAAAAAAAACCAGCGTGGGGCCAGCTAGATGGCTCAGTAGGAAGGGCCCTTGTAGTAAAGCCTTAGAACCAGAGTTTAAGTTCCCCAAATCCAGGTAAAGGTGAAGAAAAGAACTGATTTTACATGGCTCTCCTCTGATCTCCAGGTGCACACTGTGACACATACCCTTCCTCCATCATACATACAAGTCATAAATAAAAATTAAAAATAAAATCATATCCAGCACAATCAAACACCCATGCATTTTGCTTTCAATTGTCTGAGAGAACACACATCTACATGGTTAAAACAACCCTCATAAATAATAGACCCACCATTACAACTAGTCAATCTACATTCTATCGACTGCTTTAAAAAGAATAGCAGGAAGAATAGACTTTAATACAGGAGATTCACTCGGACTTTCAGGTGTCTCCTGTGGTCCTATCTGCCGTCTTCACCTCTGCGGCCTCCTCCATTTGTACAACGAACGGACAAACGAAGCCTTCTGCATGATTCCCCTCACTGTTAACACCGCATAACCGTGGAGTAGGAGACTTCAACAAATAGTGGCTGAACCAAAAAACCAAAACCAAAAACCAAACGAACCATTTTGTTAAGAGAGTAATGGAGGGCTGGGGACATATTGCAGTTGTAGAGCGCACACCTGAGTTCCATTTTCAGCAGGATATAAAACCAGGCAAGGTGTACACACCTGTCATCCCAGCACTCGGAAGGTGAAGGCTAGATGAGAATCCAGGATCATCCTCTGCTGCACAGTGAGACCCCACCTCAAAACTCAGTAAGGGGGCTGGAGAGATGGCTTAGTGGTTAAGAGCACTGCCTGCTCTTCAGGAGGTCCTGAGTTCAACTCCCAGCAACCATATGGTGGCTCACAACCATCTGTAATGAGATCTGGTGCCCTCTTCTGGTATAAAGTTGTACATGCAGATACATGCACTCCTACATGAATAAATAATAAAATCTTTAAAAAAAAAAAAACCAAAACAAAACAAAACAAAAAAAAACTCAGTAAGGGCCATGAAGGGCTCAGCAGATAAGGCACCTGTGTAGGCCCCGGGACCTGAGTCCGAGCCCCAAATCCACGTAAAGGAGGAAAGAGAAAATCAATTCCACAGCTTCCCTCTGACTTCTACACATGCTTCATATCACACGTCCACCAAACACACACACACACACAAACACACACACACACACAAATAAAAGACAACTTATAAAAAATAAAACAGGGCTGGTGGGAGGCTCAGTGGGCAAAAGGCCTGCCACCAAGCCCAAAAACCAAAGCTCAGTCATCAGGACCCACATGTGGGAGAGAGATCTGACTCAGGGTGTATGCACCATAACATGCGAGTTCCTCCCTTCCTGTAAGTAAGTGTAGTGATGATGATGATGGTGATGATGACTGACTGTCACATGTGCCATGAAAATGGAAAGGGACACTGGGAAGGAGGATAGGGGGGCAGGCAGGGTTAAGAAGGAGAGAAGCTGAGAAGGAAGAATGTGGTAGTTTGGATGTAATTGGCCCCCATAAACCCTTAGGCACTATTAGGAGGTGTGTCACTGTGGGGCTGGCTTTGGGGTTTCTTATGCTCAGGATATTGCCTAGTGTCTCAGTTGACTTCCTGTTGCCTACAAGATGTAGGACTCTCAGCTACTCCAGCACCATGTCTGCCTGCATGTCACCGTGCTCCCTGCCATGATGATAATGGACTGAACCTCTGAAACTGTAAGTTGCCACCTCAGTTAAATGTTTTCCTTTATAAGAGTTGCCATGGTCATGGTGTCTCTTCACAGTCTTAGTTAGAAACCCTAACTAAGACAGAAGTTGGTACCAGGGACTGGGGTATTGCTGTGATAGGCTGGACCATTTTTGTTTGGAGTAAAATGGACTTTGATACTTTCGGTTAGGAAAGCAGCAAAATGCTTTAAGCACTGCTTAATGGGCCATACTAGGAGGAGCATGGAAGACAGTGATGCTGTGTGTGATTTGATGAACTGGGTGTATGGGTGGGAGGCTACCTCAAGAGGTTTAATATGTTGCCTAGAGATCATTCCTGTGATATTTTGGTGAAGAATGTGGCTGCTTTTTTGCCCTTGTCCAAAGAGTCTGCTGGAGGCAAAAGTGAAGAGATTTGGATTTGGCAGAGGAAATCTCAAAACAGCCTAGTATAGATTCTGTTGTGTGGTTATTAATGGTAACTCTGATGAAGATTTATAATGAAAAGATTATAAGCAAATGAAGTACAACAGGCACAAACTGAGAAAAGGGGCACCGGGAAGTGGAACAGAGTTAACTCCTGTGCACAAGGAGAAAAAGGGATTAAGAAATAAAGAGAGTGGTGACCTCAGGGCAAGATCCCACCCAGCTAAGTTTCCAACTTGTGAAAAGGAACTAAAGAAAAGCTTAGAGCCAGGTGTGGTGACACACACTTTTAGTCCCAGCACTGGGAAGGCAGAGGCTGGTGGATCTCTGAGTTTGAGGCCAGCCTGGTCTACAGAGCAAGCTTAGGTAGTGAAGGACAGAAAGCTGGTGAAGATGTAATTGAACAAGAGGGCCATGTTCCAGCCCCAGTAAGCAGAACTTGTAGCTTTGGCCAAGTGGTTCTGGACTTAAGGATAAAAGGGACTATAGAATTTGCCTGAGACTAAGGAAAGCCACTGAGGCCAGGCAGATGTCAGTGTATCCCTGAATGGAGGCCTAGAGAGGCCACTGTGTGAAGTTGTGAAGTTTAACCTGGATTGCCTTGGAGACCCTAAGATGTTAGAGATGCCAGAGTCCTGGGATACCTGCTGAGGAGAGCTTCTAATAGGGAGTGGAACCAGCTCAAAAGGAAGAAGTGTGTTACAGTCAACAAAGCTGAACGGAGTTGGAGACCTGAAGAGCGTTTTGATATCAGATATTCAGATGCAGAATTTGGAGTTTGCCCAGTTGGTTTTCCATCCTGTTTTGGTCCAGTATTTCCTCACTATGCTCCCTTCCCTATGTTTTGGAATGGTAATGTATATCCTGTGCCATTATATGTTGGAAGTATGTGATCTGGTTTTTGATTTTGATTGTATAGGGCATTAGAGTTAAGAGATTGCATGAATCTCAAAAGAAGACTTTGAACTTTGTACTTTTCAACATTGTTGAGACTGTAATAGACTACGGGAACTTTTGGAGTTGGACTAAATGCATTTTGTATTATGATATTAAAAGCTTATGGCAGTCAGGGAGTGGAATGTGGTAGTTTGAATGTAATTGGCCCCCATAATCTCATAGGGAGTGGCACTATTAGGAGGGGTGGCTTTGTTCGAGTGGGTATGGCCTTGTTGGAGGAAGTGTGTCATCGTGGGGGCGGGCTTTGAGGTTTCCTATGCTCAGGATACTGCCGTGTCTGAGTCCACTTTCTGTTGCCTTCTGTTCAAGATGTAGCAGCACCATGCTCCCTGCCAGGATGATAATGGACTGAACCTCTGAAACTGTAAGCTGCTACTCCAATTAAATGTTTTCCTTTGTAAGAGTTGCCATGGTCATGGTGTCTCTTCACAGCAATAGAAACCCTAACTAAGACAAGGAGTAACAAAAACTATACATAAAAATGAAACAATGAAAACCATTACTTTGTATGCTAATTTTAAAAACTGGTGAATCCTAAGGTGAAAGCTGCAACTTATGGTCACTACTTCTGAGTCCCTTTACTCAGTGTTCCTATTTCTGGTTAAGGATGCTAGGGATCCCAGTAGAACATGGTTTACTGGTGTCAGAAAATCAAATGACCACCCACCCGAGGTGAATGTCACATGATCTTCACACACTGATTCTGCAGTTAAGCGTTAGGAGATTAAAGTAATGTGCTTTCTTGGGCTTCTGAGTATTTTTCATAAACTTTGAGTGGACTATCTCTTTTACTTTTTGATACAGGGTTTCTTTATGTGGCCCTGCAATTTGCTGTATAGATCAGGTTGGCCATGAACTCACAGATCCACCTGCCTCTGACTCTCGAGTGCTGAGACATCACAGGGTTGAAATAGATGGTGTGGAATTAGTCTTTCTTTTTCCTCACTGGAACTTATTCTGTAGTCTAGGTAGAACTCTCCGAACTCTGCCTGCCTCTGCATCCCAGAGTGTCAAGGTTAGAGCTGTGTGTTGCCACACACAGACTGCAAATTCAATCTTACTATTGATGCAACAGCTCTCAACCTGCAACACTGGCTGCGGCACCCCTACCTTGGTGCTTCCATTTCCAATAAGTAACAGGTGGAGCAGGCCTGCGATGTAGCTGCTGAGCAGGTGCTGGTAGTCATTGGTGACGGTCATGTTTGTGAGCAGCCTCAGTCCAGCCAGCTGCACAGCAGAGTTCAAGGGATCCGCAAAGACATCCTCACAGACTCGCTGGACATATACCTGAAGGCAAAAAGAAAGACTGAGCAACACAGACTTTCTAGAAATGTCTACTGAATGGCTGAGTAGACCTCAGGATGAACTGGTTCTTCAGAAAAGGGGACATTTATGTTTGCCCTCCAGCTCTGGTGACTATTTTAGTTGAGCTGCCTTTGTTAATGACCTGGCATTGTGCTGAGAATCAAAAGCAAGCAGAGAAAAATTAAATTCAGCTCAAGATTGTTCTTATTTATGCAGATGCACGTATGTGAGTTTCCACATTACTATTCCCTTTCACTGGTAAAAGGCAATGAAGCACTGGTGGTACTAGGTATCATGCATGAGTTTCCAGACTGGAAAATTTATCACTCAATCTGAATGCCATCAAAAATTGCAAACTTGTAAGAAAATGTTCCTCATTTGAAGTTCTAAGAAACCATCAACTAACCACCCAACACAGCTTTACTAACATTTGTGAGAAACTCCAAATGTATCCACGCTGCCATAGATGTGGCAATGTAACAATAAGAAAGCAGAGATCAAGTTTTAAAGCTCTAAATTACACATGTAAGCCAGCTGTTCCTCTTTGGTCACCATTTCATTTCTCTCCATCCTTTACAACACTAGCATCAACTCCTCCCCTTGATGGTGGGGAGGGCTCTACAGGTAGGTGTACTGGATATTTGAGGATGACAGTCCACCAGCTGCTTATCTTCATCTTTAACCACTTTTCTGTGGATCTGTTTTTTCCTCATTGACTTTGGAAGTATTTTCTTAGACTGAAAGTGCCATCCTGTGTATGTCTTCATTCTGTACCACGGAACAGTTTAAAAACACTGAGCTGCACCCACTTGGTTTCTTAGTTTACCGAGTCTTTCTTTGGGGGTGTGTTCCGGGATGCTGGCTTTGTTCTTTTAGCATTCCTGAATTAAACTGAAACCCAACTAGAAAAGCCTAGGGGATAGCTCTGCTTTAGTTTCTTTCTTTAAAGGTAGTTGTTGGCTATAAAGTTATAAGGGACACACTGTTACATTCCATTACTCACCTTTAATCACTTCTTTTGAAAGGGCAACCCGATGCATTTTTATTCCAGACAACTCACCTTTATCTTGATTTGATTTTCAACATTCACACTCAGGTTATTTAGTGCATTTAAAGCTTTCTCTTTAATACTGTGGTTCAGAGAGTTGATTTTGTTTCCAACAATTGGGATACCACCCAACTCACGAATAATGGCCTAAGAGAGGGAAAAAAATGGACTGTAACTTCAATATGCAGCCCTTTAACTGAATTCTGTACATCTAAAAATGCAACTAAAATTAATCACTTTAGAGAAATGCCATTCTCATAAACAAATCTTCCTGTTAGAAAACTTTATTACTTAAAAAACTGCATTTATGTGAGTGTCTGTGTGTATATGTGCATGCAGAGGGCGGCCTCAGCTGTCAATCATCAAAATGCCATTCACTTTTTTTTTGAGACAGTTCTTTCATTGGCTGGGACTCAACAAGTGTGGAGATGTAATATTCTGAAATATCTTATAGTCTAAGACTGGAATTTTTTGCTGGACCTCATAGCCAAAGTTAATAATAAATCTTGAAGTCACTTCAGATTGCTAGCCTACCATGTACTCAACTGTTTTACCTGCCTTTAAGAGAATAATGTCACTGTTAACCTTGCCTTGGATTTCCAAAGCAATTAACTTTTTCAACCTAAACTAATGCACCGTGACAATCTTAAGTAACATACTCTTTCTTGCCCCTGAACCAGAATAATGCATGTGTATCATTATTGCCGAAAGCAGCAAATACGGAAGCTGAAAGTAATATGGATATTGGTTAAAAACAATATTTATTATCTGGGTTGGGATCAGCTGGGGCCAGTAATTTAATCCCTTGTAAAACTGTTAAAGATTTCTGTAAAGTGTCCCATCCTTCCCCACATGATGTTTGTGGAGGTCTGAATAAAAATGGTCCCTACAGGCTCATAAGGAGTGGCACTATTAGGAAGTGTGGCCTTGCTGGAGGAAGTGTGTCACTGGGAGTGGGCTTTCAGGTTTCAGATGCTCAAGCCAGGCCCAGTGTGACTCCGTTCCTGTTCCCTAATCCAGATGCAGAATTCTCAGCCACCCTCCAGAGCACATCTGCCTATACGTTGACATGCATCTCACCATGACAATAATGGACTAAACCTCTAAATTGTAAGCCAGCCCCAATTAAATGTTTTCTTTATAAGAGTTGCTGTGGTCATGGTGTCTCTTCACAGCAACAGAAACCCTGACTAAGACACCGTTCAATAAATAGTGAGGACCTTTGTAGGCATAGCCAGTTACATCACTCGAAGACAGACATACACCAGGCAGACAGACACAGAGACAGGCACAGATTCAGACTCAAATAACAGACAGACAGAGGACAAAAGACACAGGGAGCATGAAGTATAGTGGACTCACTCTTGGTTAAATGACTCCTAGGGGAAGTGCTTTTATTTCCTCAATGTGACACAAATGCATTACTGGTGACTTGGAGTTCATCACTAATATGTACAATCAGTGCAACCAAGTAGACCTGGCTGGCCAGCCGGGGAGCCTCAGGGATCATCTTTCTATCCCCACCTTGCTAGTGCTGGGATTACAAGTGTGTGCTACACCTGGCTTTGGCTGTTTTAGTTTGAGTTCTGGGGACTGAGCGTAGGTCCTCGTGCTTGTAAGGTGAACCGCTTTACCTACTGAGCTTTCTCCTCAGCCTTAATTTTCTATTTATTTATTTTCATTATTTATTTACTTTACTTTTAGTGTGTGTGGGGGAAGGATGCACATATTTATGTATGTGGAGGCACGTTCCTAAGTGTGAGCCAGAGGTCAACCTTGAGTGTTGTTTCTCAGTAGCTGTCTTATTTTTTGAGACAGGTTCTCTCATGAGGATCAGAGCTTGGTAATTAGGCTACATTTAGGCCAATGAGCCTCAGGGACTCCCTACCTCCTCAATGCTTCCTCAGTGCTGGGATTATAAGTGCACCGTACCATGCCTGGTTTTCATGTGGGCCCACTTTACCCATTGATCTATCTCCCTTTGTTTTAGCTGACAGACACTATACACACACACACACACACACACACACACACACACACACACACACACACACATTATATATATATATATATATAGTTTAAGTTTTGATACATGCATACATTGCATAACCACCTTAAATGCATATATTTCCTCAAACATGTATTACTTTTTAATGGCAAAACATTCAAAATTCTTTTTTTTTAGCTCAAAATAAATCTGCATTGATGCCAATGTTAACAAGAAGCATTGTTGAAAAAAAAAAAAAAAACCCAAAATTGTTTTTCCTTGTTCTCTGTGGGGGAAGGGAGAAAGCAGCATTCACACGGAACTCTTCAGTCTTAGCCATTCAGGCTGATTTGGTGGTTATCACTGGCCGAGGGACCACCTACATCAGGACCATGCCAGCAAGGTCAGGTTCCCAGTGAAAACACATACTTAAATGTTAGGTGCTTTTTCTATTTTATGGACGCTCTGCCTTTTAATGAATAGGAACTATTATGAATGTGATGCTAGTATCCAGCTTCTCAGACAGTTCTTCCTGTGCCATTATTTGGCTGTGATTTTCTCATGCAAAAAAAGCAAATAATGTTGTGAGCATAAGTACATACGAGGATACAGAGACTCCGAGAGTTAAGTGCCTAGGATCATAACTACTACTGTGTGTAAAAAGAGGAGGCTTACTTGATTAGCTGAGAAGGCTGCATTATTACCCAGGGTGACCAAGGCTTTTTCAACAATTATAGGATCATTGGTTGACTCCAGCAGGTATAGAAGTTTTTCCAGTTGTTCAGCATTTAAGATCTCATCATAGGAACCATCGGTTAAGTCTTCTGCATAAGAGGAAAGCCATTGAAAGGTCATTAAAAATCATCAATGAAGTGTTTTGTTTCTGGTTTTTCGAGACAGGGTTTCTCTGTGTAGTTTTTGGAGCCTGTCCTGGGACTCACTCTGTAGCCCAGGCTGGCCTCGAACTCACAGAGATCCTCCTGCCTCTGCCTCCCGAGTGCTGAGATTAAAGGCGTGCGCCACCACTGCCCAGCATAAGTGTTTTGTTTTTTAAAGTCTGGGGACAATTTTCATCATTTGAGAGAAAGAAAAAGGCAAGCAAGGTGTAAATGCTGGCATCTGTGGGCAAGAGGAAGATGAAGAGGAGGAAGAGAGAAGGTCACAGCTTCAACAGGCCGCTTCAGCAATGGAGGCTGGCACATGGAAGAAGGGAAATACTGAGGAGTGAGAAAGTAAGTGTGTGGGAAAGTATGCTTAGGCTTTGGGTCAGAGTCAAAAAAGATGAAGAAAAGGGAAAGGGAAAGGCAAGCTTCTTCTGACTGGGCAGCCCAAACTTCCAAAGTTCTGTAGATGGCTGCTTGGCATTGCTCGTCTGAAGCACTTTACATGGTTTACATCATTTGATTCTCAGGTATTCCTAGGAAAAAGATACTATTATTATTCTGAATTTATGGAGGAAACAAAGGTTCATAGCCATCAAGTATCAGCTGGTGGTACCATAATCTATGTCTATTAATAAGGTAGTGCATGTAAATAACAGGGACCCCTGATGTTGACAGCATTTTGTCTCCTACTTTAACATTAGGTATACGAATCTGATGGAACATTTGCCTAAAGAGCGACGATGTGATAGGTCTGTGCTAAGTAGATAAGGGAGGGACTGATTACCCTTTTAAGAGTCCATCAGGCAGAAAGCCTATGGAAATAGCACAATCATGTTTTCAGTGTGCTGTTGTGTAGTTTATCTCCATAGAGGCTTCCTGTTTGATATACTCCTAGTTTTAGAAGTTATTATGAATGAAATCTTTTCAATTAAGTTCATACTGAAAACTTGCACACAGTGCTTGGATATAAGAAGTTACTAAGTGTATCTGGTGTATCTGTGTTGTGTTCCATTTTACCCCCCCCCACCCCCCCACCCCCGCACGCGCCTTCTAGTGTTCAGTTAATTCTCTGGCACTTTTCTGACTCAAAATAAGTCATTTACAAATTTCTTTTTCAGAATTTCATTTTCTATAATTTTGCTTCCTTTGTAACACTGAATTTTATGATTTTTCCTGTCAAGAGGCCTGGGACTTCAGGACAATGCTAAATAGTTGTGATAGCACGTCTCTTAGTCTTGAACTTAGTAAAGATGAAACCAATGTTTTAATATTAAATACCTTTAATTAAAGCATCTTTTTGTTTTTTTTTTTTTTTTTTTTTTTGGTTTTTTGAGACAGGGTTTCTCTGTGTAGCTTTGCGCCTTTCCTGGAACTCACTTGGTAGCCCAGGCTGGCCTCGAACTCAGAGATCCGCCTGCCTCTGCCTCCCAAGTGCTGGGATTAAAGGCGTGCGCCACCACCGCCCGGCTATTGTTTGTTTTTGATGAGTATTATTCATCAATTTAAGAACATTTCCTTCTATTCCTAATGTTGCAAGTTATCAGAAATACTATTTTAATGACTTTTACATTACTATGTTGTTTAAAAAATATATCAATGCAATAAATAACATATTCTTCTATGAATTCTTCTTATATGTCCATCTGGCCTCAGTACATCATTTCCTCAACTCTCTGATAGATTTTCTTTATTCATGATTGAGGGAGATTTGTACCACCTTTGTCAAGTTCTTATGTCAAGCAGACTGAATGATTTGATACTGTTTTCATCTTTTCCAAGGGCTTCAAAGAGTCTTAGTTCAGGAATTATACTTTTTTTTTGGAGATAAGTTTTCACTATGTAGCCTAGACCTGAGTTGATTCTTGGTCCTCCGACCTCAGCCTGCTGAGTGACAGGGACCAACTTTCACACCACCGCCCTCTGCTGGACTAACAGACCAGGAATTACACATTTCTCCAAAGTTTAAGACAAAGAAAAGATTTCTCTTTAAATATAAGGATAGAACTTTGGGAAGGGTTCGTGGGCAACCTATTAATAAAGTTGTCTGACCTGTGTTTCATTTCCAGTACCAAAGCGTAGTGGTGTATGCTCTCAAGCCCAGCAACGATGGAGATGGAGAAAGGAGGATCAGAAATTCAATTTTCTGCTACACAGTGAGTTCCAGGGCAGATACATCAGACCCTCTGTCTTAAAAAAACAAAACGTACCAGACAGTGGTGGCACAGACCTTTAATCTCAGCACTCAGGAGGCAGAGGCAGGTGGATCTTTGTGAGTTTGAATCCAACCTGGTCTACAGAGCTAGTTCCAGGGCAGCCAGGGCTACACAGAGAAACCCTGTCTCGAAAAACCAAAAATCAAAAACATTCTTGCATAGAAATATTTGACAGAGAAAGAGACAACAATCCAGGCTTTGTAAGGGCAAATGCTCATCTTCACAAACTGTTTAAACTCTGTGAGAAGAGGGAAAGACGCTGCACACCCTCTTTTCTTACAGCATTTCCTGGAGGAAGTGGAAGCTAGAATATAAATCCATGGTTGGTCCTGGTCCCTTCAGGTAAGTGCAAATTTTGAAAAGTAAATGCCAAAGTTGTACAACCCGAAAATACTTTTCTACCTGCCTATAAAGATGCTTTACTTTCTCTTTAGGGAAAGGCAATAATTATCTATATTGCCTTTACTCTTACCTATAACTGCTTGAACTCTCAGTGAATTTGAGATGAACTATGTGTAGAAAATGGTATTGTCAAGTCCTCTTATTTTAAGGACAAGCTACTATTTATTTTGCATATCCCCAGCTACACAGAGGTGAGAATTCTATCTTTGGAATGAAATTAGCCAATTACATGTAATGGTGTCGGTAAAATGTTTTAATGATTACTCAATAAAAAAATTACGTTTCTCTACCTCTGAGGAAGGCAGGTTTTTGGTCGCCAGATTTTATTTCAAATTGTTTGCCCAACAGTTTTCACGACCTAAACGATCCCTTTATGTGCAGCAATTTGTTGGACCTCTCAATGTCCCAATCACCATAGGACTGAACCTACAAGCCTTGTCTGCCAGAAGGGAGTACCTCCTGTAGGCTGAGGTTATTTCCAACACACACCCCGAATTTCAGGATGCTACGGAGGGCTTCAAGGTACCTGCCCTGGACAGGTCCCGTAAAGTGCGGGCAGAATAGCACCTTAGGGATCTCTTCTTCACACAGCTACGTGCAAGTTTCAACCTGGGCTCGAGGCCCTGCACTAACCCTCAGGGGCATCTCTTTGGTAACACAAAGGCCCAGGACAAACTTTACAGTGACAGGTAATCTACAATGGCGTGGAGAAACCTTAGTTTTCGGCTGAGAAGCCTGGGGAAGCAACAGAAAACTTCGGGCAATGTTTTCAGCCCTTATTTTAAACAAAGAAGCGGGGGCAGGGAAGCGGCTCAGGACCCACCCAAGGCAACCTAGGCTTCCTGACTCGTCTACCTCCAGCCTTCCTCCACGCCCTGCCCCATGTCCTCCCACTCAGACCTAGTTTTACTGCGACGACAAGGAGTCGCGAGTGCTTAGGGCACCTCCGGCCCAGCCCAGCCCGGGGTGGTCCTGGAGCCCCGAACCTGTCCACCTGCCGGGTGGCCCATCGCCTCACCTGCGGACCGCGAGGGGCGCAGCCGGCGCCCGCCTCGCCGCGGGCCCCGAGTCAGCCGGTAGATGCAGTAGCAGGCGCCGGCGCCGAGGACCAGCCCCGCCGCCACCCAGCCCACGTCCCGCGCGCCGCCCATGCCGCTGCCGCAGGGAGCCGGGAAGCCGGGACCAGCTCAGGCCCAGAGAAAGGAAATGGGGTTGGAGCTCCGCCTTCCGGAAGTCGCCCTGCTGAAATCGGAAGCCCTCCCAGCCAGGGCGCGGCAGCGAGCGCCTTCCCCGCGGCGGGCGGGAGGGGCTGGCCGGAGGCGCCGCTCCCACTGAACCCCGACTGCAGCCTCGTCCCGGGCCGGACCGCCCCGCGTGAGTCCCGCCCCTAGCCCCGCCCCCACCTCCCCTGCCCAGCTATGCCCCGCCCTCCCATTTTGCCCCGCCCACCCACCCTGTCCCGCCCCCTTCCCACTCTGCCCCGCCCCTCCGCTCAAGCTCTTTTTTCCGCCTCCAGACTGGCGGAGACTGTACGGCTCCTCCCCCGTGGTTGCCGGGCAACGCCCCGACGCGGCCGGCCCCGGCAGCGTTGACACCAGTAGCCCGCAGAGCGAAGTTTCTCAGTCTTGCCCTTGACCATGGCTTCACTACGCAGTGCCACCCCCAAACTGAGGAACTACTTCAGGGACAACTACATCCCTCAGATCTGTGAGGTACTGGAGCCACGTGGCCTCACACACACACAGGGCGCGGGAGAGGCAAGGAGATGCCCGGAGCTGCAGCTGGGAAGGAGCGGGATGGGGAGGCTGAAGGGGAAGGTTGGAGACGACCGAAGGGTGGTGATGGTGGCCAAAGCAGGGATGGGGATGAGAAAGAAGGGCAGAAAAAAAGCGACATTTTCCAGAGAGGAAGAGCACAGGGCCCTGGGTGGAAACCCCATGTGTCAACCTTTAGACAAGACGAAAAAGGGGAGAGAGTCAGACACACAGAGAGGAAAAGAGAGCGTTGCATTATGAAGAGTATCTTGAGCAAGAAGTGTGCGGTGAGCCTAGAACAAGAGACTTCAGGGTTCTGTGGGTAAGAATTGCCTCTTCCCGCTTTTAGCAGGAGGGAAGAAGAGTCACTGCTGTTCGACACAGCTTCACACTACACCTTTTCAGAGATGGACACCCAGGCAAAACCTGGGGTTTTGGTTTCAGCAAATGAGTTTCAGGGCGAATCTGTATGAAGCAAAACTGGATTTATTAGAAGCGGAAACAAAGGTGCTGCAATAGAGAGTAAAACACTGTCAATTGTGGGCTTCTGAAGGGACACTCGTGTGTCAGTGGCTTTACAGTGGAGTTATAGGTATGTGTATGTTTTCAAAATTACATCTTTAAGTGTTGCTAATCCACCCCCCCCCACACACACACACTTTTTTTTTCTAACATTACCCAGAGAGTGTAGTTTGTCACAAGGTTAGATTAAAAGTTGAAGTTTCTTTTTCTCTCAGTAACTAAAGTTGTATGGTGGATTTATGAGTGGCTTCATTTAGGTCTAGGAGAGAGGAGGCCAGGAGTTGAAGGTTATCTGTCGTTTGGCCTTATGAAGGCACTGGCCTTGGCATTCTTGCCTGGGGCGTTTGGAAGTACAACATCTAGCTCTGAGCGAGCACAGTTTATGCCCCGTCTTTATTAGAGCACCGTTTGGAAAAACATGTTCCCTGTGTGGTCCCATAGGCACCTTCTGACAGTGAGAGCAGATCAGAGCTGCAGGAGCAGGGAGCAGGGTTTTCTTCTCGCCCTCATAATTACCCCATTCTGCCCTGCCTCTGGAGAACAGTATGGTGCTGAATACAAGATTTTATTCTCCTCGGGGTAGGGAGCTGAGAAAGTTCTGGTAGCTTCTATTTTGTCTGTAAATGGTAGGTGTGTATTGTGGGTGATACAGTAGGAGTTTCGAGCAGATAACTTCTTGGGGAGAATGAGAGCACAGGGGAGGGAAGAGGAGAGCCATTCAACTTCAGGGGAGAATGAGAGGGCAGGGAAGGGGAGAGCCATTCAATTTCCAGGGGAGATGAATGCTCTAGGGAAGAGGCAAACCATTCAACTTCCAGGGCAATTTGGTACAACTCTTCCTTTTAGGGTGGTAATTTTGAAGTATTTATTAACATGTTAAATGGGGTATGCCCCATGATTTTATCCCGAGAAACCCTTCAGTCACCTCTGCTCAGGCATTGACGGCAGGTGAAATAGAAGTTTTGGGTCCCATCCATTCACTTTCCCTTGGAGGCCATTAAGGTGAACTTAGTTCTGCCAGCTCTCTATCTATCTGACTCAATTTCCCAGGACTTTTACTCTTCTGAAAGCCACCTGCAAATATGTGTAACATTTAATCTTTTATTTTTAGACATCCATGGACATTTGACCTCTTCTGAACATCATCTGTGTGTTCTAAGTAAAATCTAGTTGTTTACCTACAATACCATTTCTCTATGAACTTGTGTACATTCTCACTAAATGAAAACCAAAACCAAAACCAAAAGGTTACTCATGCCACTGGTAGGTGTAGTTCTACCTGCTAGGGAGACTGGGGCTAAGGATTGCTTGAGCCCAGGCATAGTAAGACTCAAAAAGAAAAAAACAAAAAAGCAAATAAAACAAAACAAAAACCTGCCTGATATACTAGACTTACTGAATCTGTTGACTAATACTTAGTTTTCCTTGGTTTTGCAAACAATCACTTGAATATATTGTTATTTCTACCCAATTCTCTTCTCTTCTCTTATAGGAATCCAATCGTGAATATAATAAAAATTTTACCTTTGTCCTGTTAACTGTTTTTTCTTCTGGGTACAATTTTGGATCTTTTTCACTGATTAATCTAATGGATTGCTAAATTATTTTTTTTTTAAAACCTACTTTTATTTATTTATTTATTTATTATGTATACAGAAGAGGGCGCCAGATCTCATTACAGATGGTTGTGAGCCACCATGTGGTTGCTGGGAATTGAACTCAGGACCTCTGGAAGAGCAGTCAGTGCTCTTAACCTCTGAGCCATCTCTCCAGCCCCGCTAAATTATTTTTTTAACATTTATTTATTTATTATGTATACAGCATGTATGACTGCAGGCCAGAAGAGGGCACCAGATGGTTATGAGCCACCATGTGGTTACTGGGAATTGAACTCAGGACCTCTGGAAGAGCAGTCAGTGCTCTTAACCTCTGAGCCATTTCTCCAGCCCATGAATTGCTAAATTTACTAATTTTGTTTTATGTTGTATCCCATCCCATCTGTTGAATATATTAAATTAAATCTTAATTGTGGACAATATATTTTTCAAGCCTGGAATGCTCATTGATTCCTGTCAATGCATTCTATTTTTAAAATTATGAAAATACCTTTTCATTTATTTTGCTATCATTTCCTGTTTTCTTTAACATGTTAGTGATTATTTTTATAAAATAATTATCTGGAAAACTGATGGCACATGTCTGTAATCCCAAGACTCAGGAAGCTAGGACAGAAGGATGGCTTTAGGCTAGCCTGGCCTACATATTGAGTTCAAGGCAAGCATAGGAAATTTAGCAAGAGAGCCTGTCTAAAACAAAGACAAAAAGAAACACTGGTACCTTCAATATATGAATCATTTTTGGGGTCTGTGTCTGTTGTTTCTTTTCTTCCACTGATTATCATGTTTCCTCATGCACACATTGAGTGATTTGTTCTGTTGGATATCAAGTAAAAAGGAACAGTAGACATTCTACACAATACATTCTTTCACCATAGAGGGTTCCCCCTTTCCTCTCTATAGAGTGAAGAGGTCACTCAGTCTAGGCAGATGAAGCTGGCTTGAAGCTAGACTGCAGGTTCCTCCCTCTTTCCTGTGAATATCCTCTTAGATGTAGTTGTGCTGGCTCCTTTATGAACACCCTAGACCAGACATATTTGTTATTGAACAAATGGCCACATTTGGGCACCTCTTATTCTTTCAGCTCCATGCAACTACCAAAAGCTGGCTTATTGCTGCCTGGAGGCCCAGCCTCCAGCAGTGAAGGGCTCAAAATGAATCCACAGCATAGGCATGTACTAAGACTTTTCTATCTGAAGGGGTTAGGGAAAAAGATAATCACACACTCTCTTGAAGATTTCCTTCAAACCTTTTCTTTATTCTTCTTTTGCATTCTCTATTCCTTCTCTCATCCTTGATGTTTTCTTTCTAACTCTATCTTTACTCTTGATGTTTCCCTTCTAATTCTCCCATTCTTGATGTTTTCCTTCTAACTCTCCCATTCTTGATGTTTCCCTTCTAACTCTCATTCTTGATGTTTTCCTAGAAGGAAACTCTCATTCTTGATGTTTTCCTTCTAACTCTCATTCTTGATGTTTTTCTTCTAGCCCATTTTAACTCTATATTTATTCTTTTTCTTACAGCTTATATAACCCAGCAAAATCTTTTAGGCAATATAAAAATCACAACATGGCTACATTCTGTTTTTCAAGTGAATGATTACAATGAATACAAAACAAACAGTTAAAAACAGCATTTCCCCCATATCCCTTACATGATTAACATTTTAGGTATTGTAGGTGAGAAACAAATTATCCTGTTGTAGAATATTATTTTAAGGTGTGTTACTTTTGTTTATGTTACATTTGTCTAACTCTGTGAAGCTGTGTTATTGTGCCTGTCTAAAACACCTGATGGTCTAATAAAGAACTGAACAACCAATGACAAGACAGGAGAATGGATAGGTGGGGCTGACAGGAAGATAGAATATATAGAAGGAGAAATCTGGGGAGAGAGATCTAGGAGTGAGAGAGGGAGGAGGACATCAGGGGCCAGTCACCCAGCTACACAGCAAGCCACAGAGTAAGAGTAAGATTTACAGAAGTAAGAGAATGGGAAAAGCCCAGAGGCAAAGATAGTCAGGATAAGTTAAGAAAAGCTGGCTAGAAACTAAGCCAAGCTAATGACAGGCATTCATAAGTAATAATAAGCCTCTGTGAAAATTTATCTGGGAGCTGGGTGGTGGGCCCCCCAAAACGAGTAAAATGCCAGCAACAACATTATCCCAAGAGCTTACATACATTCATACCCAAGTAACTTGTTATAGATTAACCATGTGGGCAAGCAAGGTATTCTTCTGTCAGGTCTTTTACTGGCAGGCTGCATTTTGCAGTGACAAAGAAAAGGCCAATTACTTTACTACTTACCTTGAAAGGTAATCTTATAAGGAATCTTAAAGGAATCACAAACTTAAACTTTTATATATGAAAAAGAATCAGTCAGCTCTACTTTAAATCTTTAGGATA